GTCTCGCTAGTTCACCGGGTCAGGGGGACAAATATCATGAATAGTCTGGATTCTGCTAAATTTAGAGTAGCGTTCCTTCCCAGTTTATTCGATTGATCTATAACCTCTACCAACCAGGGACGAGAAGGATCTCGGGGATAAGTCGGATCATTCAAGAGAGAGAAAATTATTTTTGTAGTGTCCTTACCGTAATGACAAAACTGGGATACAAAATAAGAACCCCCTTTTCATTTCTACCCAACAACTCTAAATGCATTACTCTGGCGAAAAGGAAATAATGGAGAGTGACATATAGCAATAATCTGATCATTGACAAAACCCATCTAATCCTGAGGTCCTCTATCGTCTTGTGGCTCCATTCATATATAAAAGCGCCACCTGTAAAATTAGTCTCATTTGAAATAAAACATTTACGAGCTAAGAAAGCAATTTTCACATATAAGTTTTAAATGAGTAGGGAGCCAGTTACTTCAGTTTATTTTCAGTAAGAGCGCAGTTTATTAGTGCAGTGTTTTTTAGACAACTAAGTTCTGTAACCAAATGCAAACGTAAAAATACCACATGGTACTACCAACTTCTCATTAGCTGGAGGGGTCCAACATGGATCAAGTGATATTTCAGGAATATGTACTCGTGTATCTCACTGAAAACAATTTTACCAAAAACAACTGAAAATATGAAAACCGTTTCGAAATCCAGCACCGCCTATACGTCTTTGAAAGAGGTTCACACTCACAAAAAGACTCACCAATACGTTCTCTGTGAAAACGCCCAGGTTAGATTTTACGGGTAGTTATTTATTTTTTCAACCAATTTCCTCTGGATTCTTATCTAAAGAAATTAACAGCTGACGATGAAATTATCAATACTGGACTTCTACAGCTTCCTCTTATAATTTTGTCGTGTAGACACAACAAAGTCTGTTGAATTTCAACTAGGGTATATTTCATTTATTCTTTACAAACAGTTCGGGACCTTCCTCACGGTTTCTGGACTAGAATTTATATTCGAAACATCTGTTCTACGAAACTCCTGTTATAGGGCGATACAGACTAATTGACGATCATAAAAAATTATAGATCCATTATATCTAAAAATATGAAGAAAAACTATCTATCTAATTATCTACTGAATCAAATTGCAGTAGATGTCCTTTTAGTTCAAACTTACCAATTGCAAAGACAATCAGCAGTAGAATGGTTTTGGTCGTCATTGTTTTCGTGCGCAAGTAAAGACAACGGATTTTACTCTAAGTACCTCGAGATAATACTCTGAACGCTTTTCACAACAAAGTTATCTTGCAGTTGAATAAACAACAGATAGGAGGAACAAGCACCATGAAAAGCATTGTTTTGTCATTAACTTGTGGCATGTTTACGACAGCAAGTGCGAGCTTTTCTTTTCAATTTGTGCGACGTAAAATTTGGTAGTGGGCTGGTCGGATGTTATGATCTCATTGTTATATTTCCGGTGCCAAGCTACCAAAAGTTTCCTATTCGTTATAACAAGTTAATTCTTTCCAGTTGGTTAGTGGGTAAACATTGCCGGAGCTTATTATGTGCGGATTGGCTGTAGTTTGAAGCGACAAGACTACTGCTACTTCTCCTCCTTCTTCCCCAACGGTTTGGTTCCTATTTCCACTCCCAGGTGAAGTAAAAGATTGTGGGAGTAACGTGTTTTGACCGCTTAAAACACAGGATGTTGATCCCGGACAGGATTCGAACCCGCTATAACTCTAAATTTAGCGTCACGCATGTTACGCACTTGGTCAACCGACATGCTTCGTTAAAGTCATCGTTCAAAAATTGTAAGTTATGTTCCATGAAAAAGGATATTTGAAAATGCGTGGAAAGACTTCATTGATCAGTCAACAATACTTGCTTATTAATCAGTAATGTTTACTTCCACACACACATTTATTTTTGCGTAAAAATAAACGTATTCTGGGACTGGGTCGGTTGGAGCACTCTGGGGTAGCAAAAACATGCAATCTCAGTGTCGTCTCACGCTGCATTTTAGAAGATAACCCTTTAATGATATTCCATTTCATAATACTGAAGACTCGAACAGTACATTCAGTTCATCAAGCAGAAATATTTCACTCTAGTAATATTTGTTATCATCAAACCATAAATGGCTTTCATTTGCTGAGAATTCGGAATTCATTTACTAGTTCCAAACACACTAAAGGTCGTCACTGCTAGAACCTGAAAAAGAATGAAATTGTTTGAACGGACTTAGCAATGATCAGGAGCCCATCAAGGTAAAAGAGATAAAGAGGAAGCATTTCAGATTTTTAAATTTTATTACAAATAAATGAAATAGATTATATGCAGATGAAAAAAGTAACGAAATGATCATGCGAGAGGTGGATCCAGGTAATGATTTCATGTATTCGAGTTATCAACAATTGCCCCGGATGTGGTCGTTAAGTGCAGACACAGCTGTTGGCCACCAATACAGAGAAAGAAAAATCAACCCACCCCCCCCCGGTTAAACAGCTGATTACAGCTGAAGGAAGTCTCGGATATCGTTTAGTTTGTTTCCAAGGTTTCACCCTAAATTAACCCTCTTGTGTAATAAAACGTTATATGACAGTCCAATAACTAAAAGATAATAATTATTGCCGCAGACCTGTTACTGACCACAAGCGGATTTGCACTCTGCCTCGCTATCAAATCTGTTATCATTTCCGTCACAGCCTCCATATGTGAACTGCTCGCAGGATTTTGACCCAGAGTTATAAAACCACTTCATAAAAAGTCCCCGGCACGGTCCTGTTTCAGATGGTAATGAACATTTTCCTCCACCTGCCGCCTCAGCATTTCTGGAGTTTCTTGAAAAACCTACATAGAAAACAAAACCTGCGATAATGTCACGGCAAGTCATGACATGAGTGGAGAAAAACACCTGATCAGAAAATCTGAACCTTGTTTTTGAAAGCGATCGTAAATCCATGAAATTCATCTCCACTCAGTGTCTTCAACTCAATCTAATTGATTTTAACTTTTTCTTTTCTCAAAACTTCTTTCAAAGAGGCGTTGTTCTCAGCGTGACGTCATGTTACCAATGGCAAATGGGATAGTAAAAAAACTCTGAAAGACATTGAATATTCCATATGGAATTCGGCTCATTTGATAATCTCAAGCGTGGAAAACCTTTTTATTTGTTCAGCTGTTCGCGGGATAATTCTAAACGACAGACGGCTCACACAGAACAATGGAAAATATCCCTTCATTCATAAATTACTGAAGTATTTTAAATCTCATTTTCTCATTTCTTTTCATTCGATTTTCTCAATAGGTTCTTGCTTCAAGTTTTAAAACAATTAAAATAACGAACCAAGAAAAGATGAACTCAAGCTACTACGTTTCGCGAGGTAAAAGCTAAGACTCTCCAAGGTTTGTTTTTAGCCGGCTACCCCGTATAAACTTGATTGATTTTCCTGAAGATGACAGATTCTAAGTGACTGGACAATTTTACTGTTTGCCCAGTTTACAACGAAAATTATCTTTGCCCAAACAAAGCCACGTTTTAATCAAATGTATTCAGATATAGATGTGTCTTAAAATGCATTCGAAAGATTGCGCTTCAAAAATGAACTATAGCCTTTGTGTGTCGGATTAACTAGTTACAAAGGTAAGGTTCATCGGTCCCATAGATCTCGTGGGTGGATGCTATTTTGACAGCATCTTGCCTGCATTTTTGGTTTTATTTGACTCGAACGGCCGGGTTTTTTAATTCAGTCAACACAAACATAAAGAACGTGTCTATGCAAATTTCAGTCTCAAATAAAGAACCCACCAGTTTCATTCGCTTGAATTTCAAGACACGCTTCTTTGAATCTCTAAATTAACTCTGGGAAAGATTTCTACACAGCCCCATTCTTCATGATGCATATACAGTTCTTGGATAAAGAAAACAATGGCGGAAGTCGTAGATTGCCTATAGGACTACAGCTTTGGTTAAGGACATTTCCTAATCCTGTGCGATAACTTTAATTTTCTTACCTGTGACCATTAGGACGGCTATAAGCAAAACAGTTTTTACCGATACTGATGACAGCTCTTGCATTTCTAGGAACGACAGATGGTCAGAAATAGAAATGAATTTCCTCCGAGCAAGCGCTGCAAATCGCGCTAGACTTTTTGAATCTCTAAAGACGTGAAAAATGAACAAGGTTGCCACTTTATGTTTGTCGTTCAAAACCATATATGGAGCATGACATAAATAGTGTAAACTTAGTGTTAAACCGTTCGCATTAAAACAATGAAACATCTGCTTTGCGCAAAGGCTGAGCAAAGAAAAATCAACTAGCTATTTGGAAGACTTAGTGGGAAATTGCTTTGTTTGGAATCTTTGATAACGCAGTTGTTAGGAAAGACTTTTTAGCAAAGACAGCATCCTATTTTGTAATGCAAAAAACATGCCGAGGATATGGTATGTAACCCCCAACCTGGTAGCAAAGCGAAAATGGATGCCGGAGAATGGTCTAAAAAAAAAAAAATTGCTTCACTTCAGGATGCGTTATTGTCAGATAGAGTGCTAGTTTTGAAGTTTTTTGTTCATCCTGATTGACCTTATTCAAGCTATATGGTACACCACGAAAAAAAAAAAAAAAACCATCCCTGATGAAATACACCCACAAATTAGTCAGGGATGTGCTGACACAGAAGGGGTGGTTCTACAAGTTTTATTTTAGCCACGATCGTTAAAAACATCCGTCACGGTTGTGATATCATAGACATACGCTTAGAGCAAAACTCAGCTTTTAAAAAGCTTTTAACTCTTCAAACAATCAGATCTGCATTTTTGTTTACAAAACCTAAAACTTCAACTTTGTCTCCTTAATATGCCAGCCCACAGTCTACTAAAAGCTCTTTTGATTAATTGATCAAATAGGTCAAGGACGCTCACTAAAAGGGAGAAAATACGAGGTCTCCCTAAGAATAATTTCTCCTTAAGCGTTTAGGGGTCTTAGAGGGCCTAAATAAATAATGATGATTTAACCTGGAATCTCAGGCCGTCTAGTGGGTTGGAAAACTCATGTGAAAAATTTGTTTCTCTGATTTAGTGCTACCTCTGGTATACTTTCGGGTCTATTTTTAATTTCTGTTTTTTTATGCTGTCGTCCTTGTATTATTCTCTCATTTTGATTTCACTCCTTGTTGCTGTTGTGTTTTCCCGCATGGACTTCTATGTAGAATATAAACATCATGATATATATATTTATATTGAGGATTATTTTTAAGAGCCACTGACCATAAATATCGAGAATCCGCCGACAGTTGCAAAATTTCGTAATTCGTTTTATTTTTTCTAAAGGACCCTTTTAATGAAACTTTTTGGAAAATTTTAACAAAAAAGTTCTATCGCGCTTTTTTTTCTCCGAAAAATCGAAAAGTTCGAAATACGCCTAAAAGACCGTTGTCTCCCCCGTACAGCAATGAAAACTTATGCACCTTCGGCAACTTCGTACGCTACAGCGCGATGCAATCCCTCTTTTAAATTTTGTATGCTAGCAGATAGATGGTCCGTTAATCTCTTAGAAAATATTAATTTCTTGTTATTTTGTTACGTTTACTTTTTGAAATAAAGTACTCCGCGTCTCTTTCGCAGAGGTAAAATAAAGGTCAACTTCAGTGGCCTGTGAACAGGTCTGCCATATATACTTACAAATCCTAATGTACATCATCGTAAAGCTTTATCCTTGTATTTTAATTCCTCCAATTCTCTATCTTGGCCCACCATAAGCGGCGCGTCCAGGTTTACAAGAGTTTGGGCTATTTTGTCAAAATTGCGATGCGAACCACTGAACAGCTGTCACGACGCATTGAAAGGCCTTTAAAAAGGTCTTATATGATATATTTACAAATCAAAATATATATCATCTTAAAGCTTTATCCTTGTAGTATAAATCCTGTAAGTGATTTCTTTCTTGGCCCGCCATGGGCGGCGCGTCCAGCTTTAAAAGAGTTTGGGCTAAAAAATGACAACAAATGTAATGGGATCCGTTGAACGACTGTCACGAAAGAGGGCAAGCCCAATCTTTAACTCGGCCAGGAATGTACCAAATACATAACCTCTTGCATGACAGCCGTTAAGGATATATATTGTGGTCTGTAAATATATCAAACAAGACCTTTTATTGGCCTTGGGTCGTGACAGCTGTTCAGCGATTCGCATTGCATTTTTGACAAAATAGCCCAAACTCTTGTAAACCTGGACGCGCCGCTTATGGTGGGCCATGATAGAGAATTGGAGGAATTAAAATACAAGGATAAAGCTTTAAGTTGATGTAAATTACGATTTGTAAGTATATATGGCAGACCTGTTCCTAAGCCACTGAAGTTGACCTTTATTTTACCTCTGCGAAAGAGACGCGGAGTACTTTATTTCAACGGGTTACTATTCAGACTTAAACGTAACAAAATAACAAGAAATTAATATTTTCTAAGAGATTAACGGACCATCTGCGAGCATACAAAATTTAAAAGCGGGATTGTATCGCGTTGTAGCGTACGAAGTTGCATAATTTTTCGTTGCCTTACGGGGGGCCGGGACAACGGTCGTTTAGGCGTATTTCGAACTTTTCGATCTTTCGGAGAAAAAAAAGCGCGATACAACTTTTTGATATAATTTTCGAAAAAGGTTCATTAATCCATTAGAAAAACTAAAACGAATTACGAAATTTTGCAACTATCGGCGGATCCTCGATATTTATGGTCAGTGGCGATATTTCTATTTCTGATCAGACTTTGGATCCGTGAACGAGTTCAAATTTTCTCCCGACGACCATAAGACCTCCCTGAACTGCATCTTGAGGGGAAAAAAAGGGGAAAAAAACTGCACCTTGTCAGAGTTAAAAAAACTGTCTTTTCGTTCCGTGTTCTCTGTAACTATTAGCCATACGACGAACTGAACGAAAGGTCCTTGAATTCCTTCCATTATAGATTATTTCATCTTCCGACAAGGTTTTAGATTGCATTCATAGCAGGCATTCAGAGTGTACGTGACTGTGCATTCCGTAGATCGTTCTTTTTCATCTGGTTAAGTGTTCAATCAGATTTTTGTTCTTAATCTCATTTAAGAGTCGTGAAAATCTGATGAAGACAAAAGTAAGAATTTACCGATTGAACTGTGGTGCTGAAAAAGGTCACCACTAAATAAGTGCGGTAAAGAACAAAATTATCCCGAGACATTTCAATGTCATCCTCTCTCAATTTGCAGTTTTTATCTGGTCATAAATTCTGATCAAGCATAATTCTCAATTTCCATTAGACGTTGGGTTTCCTCCGTTGATCCAAACCTCTTTTCATAAAATCACTGTTTTTAATCTGCTACATAAGGGGAAATTTATTGTTTGCCATCGATTGCATCTACATGAAAGGCTTTGAGAATAGTTGTACTTGAATATGTACGTATTGCAGGCCTATTGGCACTCTATTGTAGTTAATCGCCTTTGAGCAATACCTTCTCTGTCACAAGGCAAATTAAATTATTTTCAATACCAGTATTCGGTTCCTTCATCAAAGTTAATCTATTTTGGTTTTGGTTTATTGCTCTAGGGTCAATGAGTCACCATGACAGCACCAGTTAAACTGCACATGGCACCGCCGTGATTGAAAGAAAACTGAAGAAGTCAATGATGATATATTGACACCCCCCAAAAATACGCTTCGATTTTTCCAGAATTCCCCAAATCTTCGGAAATTCACCGACTTGTGTCATGTCATTCAAAGGATGATGTCTGAAAAATCACCCGCCCTCCCTTGGAGAGCTTTGATACATACCGTTTGGTAACAACACTGAATGTTTTAATTAATGAGAAATGAAACATATTATTACAACGGCTCGGAACAAATTTTGCTAAGTTACGTTATTTCAAATAAAGGTATTTTACAGAACTCATGGTCCGTGAGAATGCTTACATGTAAATACCGTAACTACATTTCTACGTTGTAAACAGCATTCCATATAGACTACATAATCAAGGGATTATGAACTAGGATTGACTTCCCCATTTTCCACTTTGTAGGAGCCTAGAAATCCAAGATAATTTTTTGTAGAGAATTGAATTGGGAGTATATACCCAAACTCGAGTTTAATCATTTTTCTAAGGAAAGATATGCTTCAGACTGAGAATTTTATGTAACATGAAACATGAAAGCGAAATTTATGAATCGTTGGCATTGAATTAGAACAAAAACGTTTATAACAAAGCGAATTGCGTCAACGCAATGGAGCGAAGCATATCAACTCTCTTTTGCCTTAAAGTTCTACCTGACACAGCTACGGTCCTTTTTTCGATCTCATCGCAAATTGCATTGCGACGCCTCATTGGTAACGGACTTGGAAGCCAACTCTTTACATCATCGCTAACAGTTGCTGGAATATGTGGATAACTGCATGACTCGCGAGATTTTGGTTTACACTTTCCCTCACTCGACGCTCGAGTTGTTGTAAAACAATTCTGCACAATCGAGCTTGTCCCTTTCACAGATTGAAGATCTTGGACCAACGGGCTCAAGCCACTTGAATTTTTGTGTAAATCAAACATTTGTTTCTGTTCAGCAGCTTCGGGACTGTTTCCAGAGATTAAGAGAAACCTTGTCTCGTCGCCAACAGTTTTCTTCCTTTCAATGAGGCTCCCGCGCTTCAATATCTTGGCTTTAAGTCGGGCGTTCATGGTCTTTAATTACTTTTATCAGCAAACGAGTAGAATCCAATCACAGTTCCGCTATATTTATTCAAGAATATGGCTGAGCAAAGCTCCAAGGGACAGCTTCTCCCAGGCAGCTTCAGGACACCTTCAGTAGGACAGACCAAGAAGTTTGGAGCAAATTCTTTCCTGCTGAGCTTCCCTGAGCGTTGTAATTCAGCGCTCTTTTGTTTAAGTCCACTTGCTAAGAAATATGAAAATCTGTGGTGTAAAAAAACAAGTCGTGGTTCTCGCAAACACTGTATCTTGCAGTCGAGTTGATTGTTGACTGACCTTACACCGAAGCAAAACTTGCCTTGATGACCTGAAATAAGAAGATGAGTCGATACCGACATGTCATTACCGTGCGAAATGCTTCAACTATAAACAAACAACATCCGACTTCACTATTCCCAAATGTTCTTATCGGCCCAAGAATGCGAAAAAACTTACCGTAATGCGAACTTAAGAGACCTCGGATTATCTTCACCCGGTCTTTTATTTGGAAACATTGAAGGCAACCGCTTGTGAAACGCTGTCGTAGAAAAGACTCTGTGCAAATCTTTCGGGAAAGATATCCACAGATAAGCAATTTACAGGGTTACTTACAGAACGGTTGTCAGCTCATTAAGGGTGTTCAACAGATTTTTCTCCTCTTCGAGGAAAGTCTTCCGCACTTTAAACAACAGACGTGTCCAATTACAATGATAAGGTTGAGATCGGACGTCAGCATTATCAGGCGCCTCTGATTTATTTTAGTTACGTCAGCCGGTTATCTTAAGGGCGCCGCAAGTCAATCATAGCCTCGACTTATTAAGTATCACTTTCAACCATCCATGCGACCATTTTCAGTTACAGGGTAAAAAAAAGAGAACAAAAAATAAGTTCTGATACGCTTAATGAGCTAGGCCTCGCGAGAAATTTTCCATTGAACTGCCTTCCACCTACCTGATATGTCTCAATTGTTTCGATTTACTTCATTGATTTAAACCTCATAAAAGTTTGATGCAACAGGATGTACAACCAAACTGACATCCTTTATATTCCATCACGCTACAGTAACTGTCTCCAGAGGCTTTTCCGCTCACGTCACGAGATTAAACAGTCAAGTTTGTAAACAATTTATTCTGTCCACTTAGTGCAGCCGACCTCGAAATCTGCGCCGCTTGTTTGGTTCCACTTCCATCTTAGTCTTATCTCTATACAGTAATGTGACGAACTCATCATAACCAAGCATGACGCCATTTACGTCATCAGAAAGTCTGGTCCTGCGCTCTAAGCTAGCATTTCTGAAACAGTTATGCAGTCTTATCCGCGCACATAACGAGAACTCGGGTACATTTGCTGCTCGGCTTCCAGAATCTTGCCGTCGATTTTGTAAAATTTTAGTGTTTTGGGAGAAGCTTTCTCTATCAGGTGTTTCACTCTGACAGGTATTTCCCAAAGCACGGAGTAAAACACTTGAGCTAAACCTAAGCTCAAGCTCGAACAGCACTTTGTCGATGGATAGATAGTAACTACTGATAAGATGGTGCGATTCCGGTGTCAGTTGCGTTTTTCTTTGAGCGTGTTCATCTATGTGGGCTTGAGGCAGTGCGATGGCGTTTTCCTGGGTGCACTGGCTTCTCGTAATTTAAACTGAGAAACGGCTAACCACTTCTTCATTTTCAGACCCATTGCTGATGGTATCTGCCATGCGCATTTGAAACTTTCTTCACTCCGACGCTGGCGTAAGGTCTGAATGGTCATGTCGGTATTTCAACGAGCTGATATAATGTCGATTAGTGTTGCTCAGGATTACTCTTGGCGCACAAATTCCGAAGATGAACTCTAAGTTAAAAATAGCGGTCAATAAGGCTCTGCTCCCAGAGTAAGTTTTTGGATCTTTGTCTGAAGACAGTGTGATCAGGGCTTTTACAACTCGTTCCATTTTCCGTATACGGCCTTTATGGGTTCCCACCCTGCACTGGTATGACCATCGTCTGGAACTCAATGACATCGTCAGTTTTAGATCCTCACCTTGTACTTCTCTGTCACTAAACAGGGCGTGTCGTATAGAAGTTGTAGAGAGCCTGAATAGTCCCCAGATTGTTTTGCAATGGTTCAATCCGTGTCATAGTATCCTGAAGACCGAGATTGATGTTCGTAACAGTCGTAACTGTGGACTTTCAACCATTCCTGTTGAGAGTTCCTTGTGTATACCGTTCATATTAGCCGCCCCATCGAATGCATTTCCAATAATGTTCTTGAGGTTAAAATTGAGTTTAGTGGTAGCAGATTTCATCAGTTTACAAAGAAACTCATCAGGCGCTAGAAAGCCACTGCCTCATGAGAATTTAACTGGTTAAAATAGAAATATCTACCCAAAATTTGGCTTCACCAAATTTCTCCTGCTGTCCAAAAAACCTGAGTTGCCCAAGATATGGGAGGCTAGAGCACTCCGGCCCGTATGACTATGGAAAGCTTGCTTTCTCGCAAATGCTGTGTTAAAGCCCATCCTTTTGTTGATTTGCAAGTTCAAGACGAATTTATCGCCAAGAGTCAAATACTATGCACGGGGTATCCACTTCTGAGAGGGCGCAGAGCGTAAACAAAAGAAGATTTCAATTTTTTCTTTTAAAGTGTTCACGTCTATGTACGTCCGCTTACGAGAGACTGTCCGCTTACGGAAATGTGTTTGTTTGTCTGTTTATTATTATTTTACTTTATTTATTTATTTATTTAAACACTTTCACCGAGTGTGGTGAGGGTCGCACAACAGAGCGAGGCTCCAAATTAAGTGTGCCCATTATTCCACCCATCCCAACCCAGGGGAGGGCATCCATCACACAGTAATCTCGTGTGTGGGAAATTAACGTCTCCTACCCCAAACCCTGCAGGAGACGGGACCTTCATTTATTCGTCCCTATCCGAGAAGACTAGAATATCTAACTATTTGTTGATGTTATAGAAAGGTAGCAAATTCTTCTCAATTATTTTAAGACCCTGAGTGTTGGTCGGGCCGGGGCTCGAACCCTCGACCTCCCACACAATAGTCCAGCGCTCTATCCATTGAGCTAACAGGGAGAACATTAGAAGCAACACGACCCGCATATAGCATTAGCTAGTCTTGGCGGATATTAGTAATAAATAATTAGATACTGCACATTGCAAGCTAAAGAAGTTTGATTACCATAATAAACTAAAGAGATTTTACAATAAACTAAAGAGATTTAATTACTACAATATTATTGGGGTTATAAGCCATGCATTAGTTTACTACATTATAAGCTAAAAGATACGTGGAAATACGGAGTTTGACTGAGAGGCAAAACGATAATTTAAAAAGGTGTCTTCCTAGGTGAGAGTGTACGTTGGACCAGCGGCAATTTCAAGATAAGATTTGATTATAATCTCCTTCAGTTGCCGAGCCATGTGGGTTCTCCTTGTTCACTCCAACCGTTTGGCTAGAGAGAGACACTATGTAACTAATACCCCATCCACACTGAAGCTTAAACATGTTCTGAAAGGTGTTCAAAATTTTTTTCTTCTGAGAAGCTGCTTAAGCCGATGTTTGACTTCAGTTTAGAACACCGAACAGAAAATACAAGTAGATCATGACTACTTAAAACCTATAGAAAGTTCTTCAATTCTCTATTTCTTTTTTACTATTATTATTATTATTATTATTATTATTATTATTATTATTCAGTTAAACCTGGTTTAACTTAAGATGTTTTGCTGGTGTGAATGGGGTATTAGACTTGTAACCCAGTATCATGTATAGTTTTTGCTTTCCGTGACCTCCAATGGATCCGTCACGTAATGTTAATCATGTTTCGTTACTTAACGTCAGACGGACACTGGTAACTACTTTTGGAATACCTCCGCTTACAGCAAGTACTGCAGCAATACAACGATGTGACTGAAGATGGCTTCCTCTGATAAGGTATCTAGTTTAAGTAGTATCACGTCTCAAATCTTATGGTTGTTCTTTCTGACAGACGAATGTTTTCTGTGTTTCAGAAATTCCTCCTGACAGGAGCTCAAACCGATGGTAAGTCAGAATTGTTTATTTTACTTATTTAATGAATCGTTTGGTGTCGTTATTATTTGATTCGTTCCGCAAATGTACACATTCTTGGCCCTTCGAACAAGACTTAAAAGCATTCTTCTGCGCTTACTTAAAGCATCTCGTTAACATGTCTAGACTGTTAATTCGGTTTTCGCAAATAGCTATAACTGTCTTCTATTATTTCTCTCAAGGTTAGGCCAACCTTGCAAATATTCAAGCTATTATTAAGATATATTGCAGTTTCAATTTGTCTTTTGCAGTATTGGGATTACTTATGCATGTACGTGGTTTTTGATAGCCCACAGTATGATTAAATCGTTATTGTTTGGAAGCGTTTTAAACTTTTATGAAGGTTTGCGACAAATCGATTGGCTCTTTTTTCATAACAAAACCATTGTTTTTTGTTTGACCCGTTTTCCTTTCAAAGTAATCAGTTCTTTTAACTCAACCTCTACGTGTGTTTTTCCAATAACTATTTGGTTATTTCACTTAAAAAACTACTTCATGGATACGGAATTTCCGGAACAATCCACCTTTCGTCATTGTGAGTATTTTGTACGCTTTACTGGTGGCGGTTCATTTATAATTCACGTGTTCGAGGATTTAAACATTTCCATTCATCACGAGTGAAAATGTTGAATGAAGAGCGTAGTCTCGATCCAAATCATTGAAAATTTAAGAAAAAAAGTTATTTGTAACGCAAAAACTGACGACCGACTTAATGTCTCTTTTGTTGGAGAAATGAGTGTTGTTTTGGGGGTTCTTCTCGCTTTATTTTCGACTTTTGCGTTGAAAATGTGGGCCCATACATACAACAATCATTAACATTTATATGAAAAATCTCAGGTACAACGCAGTGAACTTTGGGAGCTAATTACAAATAACAAAGTTGTTCTAGCCAAAAGCAGTCCTTGTTTAGAAAATTCTACCAAGTCTCAGTAAATTTGAGGCAAACAATTTGGCTTCAGACCAAATTTATTGTGGTAGGAAGGGAGTGTCACTACAAAAGAGCTTTCTCACCACCTGTCAAACTTCTTCTATTGTCTTGTGTCACATGGAGTCAATCATTAGAATTGAATAAGCACTCGAACTTGTTTTTACTTGTTGTTATGCTGGCCGCATAAATGTTGTCTCAGTTATAACTCTTAAATTGTATCAAGTATTTTAGTTTAAATGTTGTTCAGGTCTATTTTCAAATCATTGACTTTTCAATTTTGTTGCAATGATCTTATCGGTGGCCATACTATGGCACCAGTGTGTACTTAAGATTTAAATGTTCTGAAATTCTCCTTGTTTAAAATAAGTCTTAAATGCCCATCATTTTGTAAAATATACTCATTATGTTCATTTATTTCATTAAAAGTTATTGTCATGGTGAGAGCTCTAGTTTATCTGCTATTCCAAATGTATCATGAGTATCAACCCTGTCCTTTGAAATCCCAGGGAGAGGAGAGGGGAGAGGGAGGGGATCTCTAGGGAGGTATGTTACAAAAGGGAAATTCCAAAGAAGGGTGGGATTCAAACCAAGCCAAATGCCCTTGAAGATGAATGATAAATGTTTGATCCATGGTTGTTACTGTATGTTACAACTCAATGAAGTGTTTAACTTTTCCAGCTTTGTCTAAGGTGTTCAAGTTTGCTGATGTTGAGGAGACTGGGTATGTTGATGTGGCAACAATCTCAACTCTTGCTGTACAACTACTGGGAGCTCAGCTTAGTGAAAATGAGAAAGAAACAATAAATAGTAAAGCAGAGAGCAAGGCTGACAAAGGTGTAGTGAAGCATGTCATTTTTTAATTTTACCAGTTAAAGAGCTCACTGTGATCACAGCTACCTCAATTAAGGATACGTGGTAGATGCAGTCTCCTTTACATCTCTGGCGTACATTTTTGTTTAGCTACTGAGTGCCAGCCACATGCATGAAGAACACTAAAAATAAGAAACTGGTTGAATTACTGTACATGAGGAAGGATAGGTTATCTTGATTTGAAAACGTCTTGAATACACAATCATCCTCATCTTCTTTGTGTCATCACTTTCTTTTGCTTTAGGGTTACTTTCTTACCAGAACTTTATAGAGATCATGATGGAGACAATGCAGGCTATGACACATTGGGGAAAGTTGAAGACAGTTCTAGAAGGTTATGTTGGTTTTGATACAGTGCAGGAGCAAATCCGCAAAAAATCTCTCAAAAGAGGATTTGAATTTAATCTCATGGTTGTTGGTAAGTTTTTATCAGTTATGATTTTATTTTTAATACCTTCAATTCTACTCTTTGACAAGTTAATTGGGTTTGAATGTGACTACTGTAAATTAAAATAAAATCTTATTGGCATTTCAAGTCAGTTTATAGTCATACATTCAGCAGTAGTTTGGTATATGCATAAAAATAGACCATTTTACAGTTGTGTACTTAGTTGCCAAGCCTTTGATTTGGAGAGAGGCTGAAGGTGACCTTGTTGTGGTAGAGACCAGTATCTAGTTGGCATGATAACAAAGTAATTTACATTTGAAAAGCAGCAAGGTCTGTATCAAGGTTTGTATCATGCAGAAAACACAGTCACCCTTAGCCTCACTCCTATTCAAAGGCTTGGCAACCAAGCATGCAACTGTAAAATGGACTATTCCTGTCATCTTTTTCTCACTTGATATGTATAGGAAGTATTCTTCTTTGAAAAAGACTGCAAGTGCTTTCCTTATTCAAAGATATGAAGGAAAAAGGCGAAAGATTCCTTTCTTGTCTTTTTTAGGTGCAACAGGCCTTGGTAAATCAACCATGGTGAACACTTTGTTTAAAGGAAGATTGAGTAGAATATCTTCCACTGGAGCCACCCCCTGTATTCCCAAGACTGTTGAAGTCAAATCAGTGAGTCATGGTGTGTTTGGGTTCATTGCTATCTTATAATCACCTGTGTTATTTCTTTGGTATTATATACTTTTTGGGTGAGATATGATACTTGGAATGTTTAGGTTAAGGCAAGGTTATGGGCGATAAGAAAGTAAATCTTTATGAATGCTATTATAAGCCAAAATTTCATTTCTTATTTTGCAGTCATTGAGGAGAAAGGAGTAAGACTAAAACTTACCATCACAGACACACCTGGGTTTGGTGATCAGATCAATAATGAAAGTTGGTAAGGCTGTTCTACTGTTCATTGTATTAATAAGTTTTTTCGATACTGTAGATGCATGCCCCCCTTACTAACACTGTACATTTTGATGCCCTTAATGCCTTATTAGAGTATGCTAAGGACCAGCTGACTCGCTGGTTCTACACAGCAGGTATACAGCAATGCAGCTGTACCTGTTTACCAAGAAATGTTTAGCAAATACTGTGAGTTAGTTCTGGTTGTTTTGGCTCCATCTGGTAGCATCTGTTATATTTATGTATACATGCTTTGTGAGATAGTATTCACATTTGCTATAATTAGCGTGAATCACCTTTATTATTGGAGTGGGAAACTCTTCAAATAAAACTGTATTAATTTGAATAAAAGTAAGATATGAAGGTCTGTTTGATAATGGTAGTAGTTATTTCACGCCTGTTTCAATTATGTTGCTGCAGCTGGGACCCAATCCTGCAGTTCATAAATGAACAGTACAACAAATATTTGAAAGAGGAAACTAGCATCAACAGAAAGCCTCGAGTTCCAGATAGCAGAGTTCACTGCTGTCTGTACTTTATTGCACCAACTGGCCACAGGTGGGTTCATCCTAACCAACACTAAGATCTTCTTTATTAATTTTTGAAAAAATGGCTTGTTTTAGGTCAGTGGAATCCTGAAAAGTTGTGTACAGCTTTATATGAACAATTTTGTCCCAGTGGTGAGGTTTGTTAATTCCAAAGAGCAGCTGAATGCAGTACATCGAGCAATTTATTTTCTAAAGAAGTTTGAATATTAATTTTTTGTACATGTATGTGTGGAGTGTGTGTTGATGCTTATAAAGTTTCCATGCAAATTTTAATGAACACTTTTATGTGTACATCTGCAATAGCAACTATTTGCATTGAAAAAATGCAACATTAATTAACAGGAAAAGCACTCAAGGTGTTCAAAATGAAGTGGCTTGCCCAGTGATGAGTGACGGAGAACTGGTGTGCCCGATTGGTGACTTACGGCCATGGTTTGAATTTTTTTCAGGTTGAGGCCCATTGATGTGGAATTCATGAAGAGATTAGACAAGTGTGTCAATATTGTGCCAGTGATTGCAAAGGCAGACACACTAACTGTTGAAGAACGTGAAGCCTTCAGAAGGAGGGTACAGTCTAACTTCTGTGAATTTTCATGTATTTACCAGTCAGTTAATTTAGCTTTCCATTTTTGGACAATCGAAACACATTAAATGAAATTATTCAGTACATGTGTTCTTATTGTAGCTGCGGGAGGATATAGAGAAAAATCGCATTAATATCTACCCAGTTCTTAATCGACATGACTTGGATGAAGAAGAAGCTAGGACAACGTCAAGAATAAGGGTCTGTAAGAAATGGAATGTTACTTATGGAATTTGTTACTTAATGGAATTTGTTATTTAATGGAATTTGTTACTTAATGGAATTTGTTCCACAATGAACTAGCACATTGTTAATTTCGCCCAAAATTTTACTTATCATTAAATGATATAAAGTGAAGTATGAATATTTGTTGTTTAAGGTGCGTTTATTACATAATCACTGAGTCGATATTTTTCATTTTGAAGTACAAAGCTTTAGTGAAAGAGTACTAATCTAGTTCACATTGCCGAGATGTGGTCAGACCACATCAGTATTGGAAGTTCCTGTCTTACAGTTAGTTTATTGGCTTTTCTCAACGTTCTGTTTGCGTCATGTCTTACTTCTTAGGATCAGCTGCCCTTTGCTGTAATTGGTAGTGATCGATACGTCACTGTGTCAGGAAAGCCAGTTCTTGGAAGGAAGACAAAATGGGGCCTCATTGAAGGTAACGAGAATTTGCAGACATTCCGGCTAGTGTTGAAAATGTTCCTCTTGTTGTCGTGCATTTGCTAGAGGTAATTTATTTTATGATTTGCTTTCAGTTGAAAACAAGAACCACTGTGAATTTTCTCAGTTACGAGACATGTTAATCAAGTAAGTGTGAAATTGGTGGACGAGCACAAGCTATTAAAGGATAGCTACCCTCTGGAGTCTGTTCCGGTCTGTCAGTTAGGGAAATATCGTGTGGGGACTAGGGAGAGCGACCGAAAGCCAGGCTAATGAGTCGCTTAAAATGGAGGACGTTTTTGTCGCAATCTATATGGGGATTTGTTGTTCTTGGAAATAATTAACAAACTTATATGTCTTTTCATAGAACACACATGCAAGATTTAAAGGAGGTCACAGATAACATTCATTATGAAAATTATCGCCGCAAACATCTGACAGAGGAGAAACACGAACAAGTGGTTCTACAAAACAATGTAGTGAACATGGAGGACGTCATGGGTCAGGAGAGTAAAATTTAAAAGAGGCATGAGAGCAGAAGATTTTTTACTAGAAATTCTCGGTCATATCAGACTCAAGAAATATTTACAACTAATGTAAGATGTTTGCTATTCAATATATTAATAATTTAGTCTTTGTTACAATTGTCGAAAATTGATGCGTTAAGTTTTCATAGTGCACTATGCATTGAGAAACTCTCTCGCAATGGTTTGTACAAAATGGTGCAGCTAGCTTTCTCTATCCCTATTGTATTAATGTATTGGAATCTACAATGACTTGGAATTCGAAATTTTGGTTCTGACTCCTTTGGCTACTTAGATTAAAAAGTTATTGATATCAACAATTCCAAACAATCTAAGCTTGTTATTAATAGCGTTTTTTTCTAAATAAATTAAACTTAAAGTTTTTTCTTCAATAAAAACGCAAATTTCAATACGTAAATCATTGTTGGTGTCAGTAGCTTGGATTTCAACGGTATGTGGAGGTTGTATGGGGCGTTCCCATCAAATGCCTTGTTTCAGCAGAGCGAGGATGATCTATCAACGTTTTCTACCATCAATAAATCAAAATCATTGTCCCCAGCTGTAAAAATGTTTTCACCGGGTTTACCTGATAGAGGTTTTTTCACTCCATGTGATAGCCCTGAACAAAAACTCACCCTCGCTATTCCAAGGCGGGGGTAATAACAAGTTATTGTAACATTACAAGGGTTGGAGATTAAGTGGGATAACAAGATAAAAGAACACTTCATTACCCATGTCGGCGTTTGTGCGCTCTTAATCACTGAAACAGCAACTGTTCTGCCCGAAATAACCTCTTGTTGTCGATCTGAGGCGAAAATGTGAGGGCTTCTCAACTCTAAGGTTGATTATTCCGACCCTTAAAGAACGAGGCTCGAATGCTTGAACTGAATCGAGTATAATGATCAACGCATACATCGTCTGAAAATTTTTATCCACCCTCCCAAGCCTGTTAGACCTTGAATTTATTCCTAACACCCACGTTACCAGCAAAAAGGAACAAAAGCTTGGCATCGCTGTTGAAAAGAAAATAGAAACGTCATTCATGTTTTCAACTCAGTCAGTGACTCAGGTTTGTATAGACGCAACCGTAGTCATCATAACTCTTAGTTTGGAAGAAGTAAAGAGATACCTAACTGCAGAGCACGGGATTGGTCTTTGCAGATGTTTCGCTCTTCTCTCTTTCAGCGCGTTATGCCAATGCGTGACGCCAATGCGTGACCATGTTGGTCATGCATTAGTCTCGAATGCATCCTGTCTGCAATTTTCCTTTTACAGCAAATCCACGAAGATTGAAGTTTGTTTGTAACGGCCTTTAAAATCGCCGTAAATCTAAATTACTTTGTATTTAAAGATTAAAAGGATTAAGCCATGATTGGTCGCACACACTCTTTTTTCTTCTTTTTTCCCCCTATATTTGTGACAGACATTGGCCAATAATATAGTTAAGTGTAGGTTAAAGTCCATTGTATTATTAGATCCTCCTGGCCGGTAACATTTAAATACTACACGTGGATGAGACAGGACATTTACTTCAGGTGTAATGTCCTAAATGCGTGAAAACCTGTTTTCTTTACCAAGAAACACTTTTGCAACATGTCAACGACTACAAAAACTACTTGGTAGGGACTGGTCAACAAAAAGCCTTTCGTGAAAAAAGCACAGGGGGCGTTGCTCACTTGTAATATTTGAAAAAGCCAAGCATTAAAACAGGACAGGTTGGTATTTGAACAAAAGCTGGTTTAGGTGACAAAGGTATAAAGGCCATGAAAATGCAATCAGAGATGCTTTGGAATTTTTTTCCTTCCACCACGCAGCATCGTGCTTGAGTTACGAGAACAAACAGGATCCATTGCTGAGGAAAAGCAAACTTGTTTAACATGCCTCGTTCATTTACACTAAGAAGACTGACTACGCCAAAACATTCGGACACGTCGCAAAGTACAGGTAAGGCTTCATTTTACTGAAATATAGGGTGTTTTTTCCAACCTTGATGCAAAAATTTTAAAATCTAAGTGTCTGAGGCGAAGGAGGCCAACCAAAAATTGAAAAAAAGCACTTAGCTTCTTTATTAAGCACCGTATATGATGTTTTAAGTCGTCTGCAGCTTAAAACCCACTTTTGAATATGCTGTTCATAAAAGTTCCCTTCTCATTTGTAGGAAGGGATGAAAGTGAAAGAGAACAAAAAGTCTTGGAACATCCAGATGCAGATAACACAAGAGTAAGGACTGAAACTAGCCAAGTAAGAAGTGATTGGAGTGTGACACAAGAGTTAGTAGATGGGAGCCAATCGCAGGAGAGTGCTAATAGGGAATGCGCAGAGGGTCTGTCCTTTTCCATAGAAAAAATCCTGACTTTACCTGCCTCTGGAGCAAAACGTACCCATCGGAAACCTATTGTTAAAAAGTCCAGCAATGCTTCAAATTACCACTGCCCTCACTGCGGAAAAGTCTTTAAAACTAATTACACTTTTGGAAAGCACATGAAAATGCCCGAACACACGAGTGACAAGCCATTTGCATGTCAAACATGTGGCAAAGGTTTTCGTCTCTCCAGTACACTGTGTAGACACAAGATTATCCACACCAATCAGCGACCCTTCAAATGTCACGTGTGTAACAAAGCCTTCAATCGCCAATCTACACTAAAGACACATTACAAAATCCATAAAGGCCTGGTAACGAATGACAACAATGTTGTACAGCCAAGCTACGGCTGCGTTGCAGTCTGGTAAAGTGATCAAGGTGCTTGGTTTAATCAAGTTGCTTCGGACTTGCTTGCAAAAAAGTATTGTCCCGGTCCATGATAAATTTATCTTCAAGGTGAACATTTCTCGTGCAGATCTCTTGATCCGATAATTCGATAACTATCGTTAATCTCCACCCAGTGTGGTCCTTGCACATGATGTGTTGGAAAGTAGAAGTGTCAAAATTTGGTCGTGCACGTTTTCCAACATGATGTGTTGGAAAGTAGAAGTGTTAAAATTTGGTCGTACACGAGGATTTTCCTCGTAATGAGGATGTGTGTTGGGAATTGTTTCCTCTATTAAAATACCCTCAGAGGTGTTTACATTAATGTTGCATTAGCAGTGCTTGGTTGGTTTTTCCGCTTCAAAATTTATTTTAATCTCACATGAAACTCTTCAAATTAATTTCAATAAACTTGATGATACTTCAGCTCATTTTTCAAGCACTGCTAATGCTGATAAACACTGTTTGTGCTGTTGTACTTAGAAGAGTTTTTGAATACACTGAACATAGAAATTCTTACTTCTTATAACCGCACAATGTTCTCATGTCTCGTGAGTCTAACCTGAGTTTTCCTATTTTTTCTCAAATAAAACTCGGAAATCAACGGCCAGCTAATGTATTTTTGAGCAAATAATGTGGTCAAGTCTGTATGTGTGTATTGGTTCTGATTCTTTGCGCTGCCGTCAGTTTTACATGTTCTCTTTTCAAATATTACTGTGCGTTTGGATCGAACCAAACATTGTTGGTTACGTGAATTATCCATACGATCTACACCTCCCCTTAATTTCAGTATTAATAGAAATGCAATGTGTTTGATATAAAAATGATATCAAGTTTTCGAGTCCCCAATTCACCGAAAAAAGAATGAATCGAATTTCGATCTTTCGACGGTCTCTTTCTTCTTCTCCGCAATACTTTATTTCTTCCGGGCGATCCTGAATACAAATGCAAATAATAAACGCACTACTAAAATGGTTAAAAAATTGGATAAAAGATATTCTTCGTCGGTGGGTGTTTACATCGAAACAACTTAACTCTTAGGCTGTTTATTTTCACTGGAATATTATGAAAAATGACAATAAAGCTTTTTAGAAAGACAACAAAACCCAAAAAACGCCAAAATAAAGCAAAGGCATTCAAAGACTGAGCATCGGTTTATTTTGACAAGCCGACCTGCCAAACATTACATATTAATGAGATTCTATGTCTTTCAGTCATTAAAACTAATTGCGCGCATATCACGGTAGGCAAAGGTCGTAAAAAAAGTGAATTCTGAGAACTAACATGTCGTTTAAATCCGAAGAGTCTACCCGGCTAATATTTTTTAGTAGTTCCTACAACAAATGTCATTGAACATCGGTATTAAACAATTTTTTTGTAGCACCTGTTCCAGAAAAGACTAGCGATATCTCAGTAAGTCTCAGCTGAATTAATAATTTACTTATTAGGTACTTTGTGTGCAAGAAAGCTTACCAGCCAGTATTGTTCTTGCAACATCTTCCGCTCAGTGGGCATGTTACACTTATATTTACTAAGTCACGGAAAAATTCGTTGTTTTCTTTGGTCGAGCAGGACCTCTGATAAGAGGAGGATCTAACAGAAATTATCAACCCCAGACACGTTTTTTTCAAATAAGTATCTGAGATGCTGCAGCTGCATGTAATGTTCAGCATCGAGGTAAAGTTGTATTTATTTCTTCTTGGTACATCAGCGGCGACCAGTGTGGCTTCTTACCCAAACTGTGACCAGCTCTCGTCAACCGAGCTAAGTTTTGACGTAGAATACTGGGAGACAAGCCCATATACAAGTTGCCGAGACACAAAGCAGATGAGCTTGCAGTCCTGTGCAGAGGGTTAAGTATAAATATCATGATTCTAAATACATGTAGTTGTTGACACAGAAGAAGATGACACAGAACAATCTGACTCCGCAGAGCACGGCCCCCAACACATTTGAGTGTGTATTAACAACACGTTTGCGCAATACGATCAATTCCGTTTTAGTAGCTTTTTGTTTTAGGATGCAAAGAAACTTCCCAAGATCACTTTCCTCCTTGAATCTATGTTTTTATACTCATTTGGGTTAATTTTAACCTTGAAATGACAAAAAAAAAAAAAACAAGCCGGATCTGTAAATCGGATACTTGTGATGGAAAATTAATCCTGAGCCGGCTTCTAGGTGACAAAATTTCAACGAAAATAATTACAAATGTCGGTCTTCCTGTTTATATGCACAGGAAGCGAAAAGAAAACACCAAGACAAAGCCTTTAATGTAACTGAGAACTCTTTATTATTATTATTTTTTGGGAGGATAGTTTGTTCCCTGGAGTGTGGTGTTTAATACACGGTTTGCGCTCGATTCAATGCTTAAAACAAGCTAAGTACAGTTATACAAGCCCACGTAAATGCCATCAAAATAACTTGCATTGCGAAGAACAAAAAGAGATTTTCGTATTTTTTCTACAGATACAGTTCATTAAAACTGTCACTCGACAGCAATTTCTTTTTCAGTTTGAAAGTAGGTCTTTGTTCACTAAAGGAAAATACGAAATAGGTATTGTTTTGTAAATTTTATACGATCTAAAACAAAAACTGTTAATCGCAGAGTTATGCAAAGCTCAGGCAAAGTAGATGCTATTGAATATCACTCCAAATTTATGAAAAAAGATTTTTTGGAATTACTATAATATTGCGGTTTTGACTTAGAAAGATATAAGCCTAAAATGCTACGATCCTAAATTTTCGTTTTTATGTTTTCATAGCGAATTGCAAGCGAAGAACTCTCACACTGTGAGAAGTATGACAGCTGGCCAAAAAGATAAAATAAGTATGACCAAGACAACTTAGAACGCTAGTTTTTACTTCCCACCCCTACTCCGTTAATTAGGGACCTTAATTCGATTAAAAAATGAATTTCTACTCTTAGTTAGAATTTCAAAAATGATTGCAGGAGCTTACTGTCTTATACGGCGCCACAGCTCAACTTCAGCATGACGTATAAAAGTAGCGTTGAGTTCCAAATGGAAATTAACATAATTTGCCGTCGCGGTTTCGGTTCGCAGACGACGCAAATTTTGGCGATTTCACGTTGTTGTTTTGCATGGGACGGCTAAGAAATGTACAAAGTTTCAAAATGCACGTCCCGAGCTATTGTTCAGCCAATTAGATTTCTTGTTTTTCCACGTCCTCGTTGCCGTCGCCGTTGTGGTTGCGTAAGGTCCCTTGAAAATAGTAGTGCTACATTGCTGCTAGTCTAGTACCCAGACCTTTTACGGTCAAGCGGTTGTACATTTCAGTTACAATTACACGGTAGGATACATACAAACATACATACATACATATACTTTATTTAATCTCGAATTTGGAGTAGCTAAAGAATAAGCTAGTATCTTCGAGTTACAAGTATAATTCTAAATACTACTAAAATGTAAAATGTAAAATTGTAACATTCTAAAATTTAACTATGAGAAAGAGTCATACTGTAGAATCTTGCGCTTGAAATCAGAAAAGTCAGACGTTCTAAAAGAGTCCGGAAGAGAGTTCCATAGTTTTGAAGCCATATATGAAAAGGAGTGAAGACCATAAGTAGTAGTTTTTGTAGACGGTAGAGACAAAATATAATTTCCGCGTAGATTATAGGATACAGACCGGAAACTAAACATATTCTTTAGATAGCCTGGATAGCAGTTAAAAAACAAGGTCTTGTACAATATGATCTGGTTACAAGATTAGGTTCCAACTACTGTTAAATACCAAATGATATTCACCTTCTTTACCTCATCCCAGTTAATAACATAGTAAGCAATGCGTGAAATCAAATTCTATTGCCCCAGCCTACTCCATATTCCGATTGTGCACGCTGAAATGCATTGATATGGGAATTTCTCCCTAAGAAAAAAATTGAATCGACTACCACGTTGAAATTCAGTATTAGCAGGTTCAGAACGTGCTATGCGTTTATCGAGAAATTTTTATGGAACTTCAAGTTGGAGCTCTTCAAACTTTCCGCATTCTATATATCTCGCTGAGTGCACGTCAACGCATGAACACAGCTGTCAATTTTCCTCAAATCCCTTTCTCAGATGAGAACCTGTTTAGCCAACTTCCAATAAGATCTACGAACTTAACAGGAGGATAAAAAGGGGCAATAAAGCACCTCTTCGATTCTGAAGGAGATTCTTCAGTTTTAGTGAGTGACCCAAGCATGCTCGTATTTTTTAAAACCTCATCTCTATCGATCTTTGCAGCCGGCTTCCTTGGTACATTCCTTCGCCAGATGATCAAGCCCTCTAAAATTTCCTTCAAACCAACTGAGAAAAAATTCCAAAAGACTTCTTCGAATAACACTCAAAATGTAACCATTGCCATACCTTTTATGATAAAAAGGAACACGGACGATCCATGTGAGATTAAAGTACATCACTCCAAAGGACCAGCCTACATTGCTAAGAGAAACCGGATGAAGCCATTGGAACAACTTGGAGGCTCGTTTATTAACGGAGGACAGATTATCGGTTTGACCCTCATCCTCACGGTTATATCCGGGGTCTTTATATGGATACTAGTAAGTGACTTACACCATGCAAATGCGTCAGGCAAACAAATTTACTTTAAATTTGATTTATTTTTGTATTGTCTTTAGCTGACACACGGAAAGGGAAAAAAGCCTGATTATTCTGCTTCTAAATGGCCCAATTTTGCAGCCAATTAGGTCGCGACATGGACTGGCTCGTACTCGTCATGTATTTTGTTGTATAGCACGTAAATGTAACATCTCTTTCAACAGGATCGCCATAAGAATCCGGTGGACTTTCCCCCTTCGTTCATCAGTGGTTCCTGGCAGGGCTTTTGGTGGGCTTTCGTGACAATGACTACTGTTGGGTAGATAGCATTCATTGCCTTTAGATATTGTCATAAAGTTGTAAATTTCATATAAAAAATGTGTAATAGTAGTTATTATAAGAATAATAATGATGGTGATGATATCGATTTATTTAATTATATGATGGTAATAATTACGATAATTGTGTACTTACATGCAGTAGTTGATGTCTGTAGGTATGGAGACACATCTCCCAAGTCCGTGCCAGCTCGTTTATACAGTATTTTGTGGATGTTGTTGGGCATGGTCGCCTTCTCAGTTCTTACAGCCAATGTCACGAGTTCTTTGAATTATGAAATTGAAGAAGACTTGAATCTATTTGGCAAAACGGTAAGCGCCGTTTTGTATCGTCCTGTGGCAATATTTGCCGAACAGTGACATTGATTGAAAAAACTTTTAACGGCACGCAGATCTGACCATCATCAAAAGCCGATAGTTAAAATCTCTGATTCCATTCTACTTTTTTCAAGGGGTGATTGCTACCAAAGCCTTTTAAGCACAGTCAATAACATCGATCTATCCGTTGACTACCAAAATTTCAACTAATTAAATAAAAATAATAGCATCCCGTACAGAATCTGCGCTACTGTTTCTCAAAATGTTCTTAAGATGAACATCTTGAAATGATTCAATGTCTGGCGAATAGAATCAATATTATTTTTTCGGCCTTTTAGGTTGCAGTTTTGAATGGAAGTTTGGCGAGACGGGTGGCGGTGTCAGAAGGGGCAAAATACAAAGGTAGGTAAGAGGAGTTTATACCAGTCACATTTGAATACAGAACTAGGGGCGAAAAATGGCATCATATCAGTCCTCGCTCGGTCAAGAGTACCTCTGTATTCAGAATGAATGACTCTGGGTTGAAAATGAGAAATTCAAATCTAAAATAACACTCGAGCTCTGCCCTTCGCACTCCGCGTCGCTTGTAAACAACTCAAAAATATAAATTTTTAAGGCTACTTCCCAACTGCGCGGGTGTCCTTCGGAAAAAACTCGTACGCGCGCTAGTTTGAAGAAAATCCTAACAAACTATACTTCAAAAGAAAGCTTAATACATTCAGTTTACGATAAAAATATAATTTAGGCGATTTTTTTTATTTAGGGAGTATTAGGAGCCGGTAAGGCGTGATCGTGAAACGACCGAGGGTCCTTCTATTGAATTTATCTGGTATCGCATCTCGCTGCACGTGCAAAATGGCTGCAAAGTCTTATTCACAAGGCATCAATCAACAAAAGTGTGACAGGCTTTTTCGATATTCTGATTGGTTGTCTAGATATCCGCATCCAAGTTGGAGTAGCGTAAAAAATGCGAAACGTGTTGCGTAAATGGACACAACGGGAAAAATATTTCAAAAATCAAAATTTCCTGACACACTTTCGCTTGTCATTATCCCTGGAATCTTTTGGCAAAATTTCACGAAAATCAGTCAAATCTACATACCCTATAGATTCACTCAAAGTGGATGCGAGATTTTAGCTCCTAAAGGTTTGTAAACAACTAGCGCCGCACCAAGAGATTATGTCGCCACCTGAAACATCAATATTTTCCCGGGAAAAGTATCGCATAGCAGTCACGTTTTTGTTATCTCGCTCTGGGCAAAAAATTGGCGAAGAAAAAACCCGCAGCAAAAAAGGTAAGGCTGGAGAAACTAATGAAAAGCAAAACAGCTAAACAACAGCAAGGTAATGGGCCCCTGGCGAAAGAAAGCTTAAGTAAGACCCTCATCGCTCAAATGAGTTTCCTCGAGTGGGTTTATTCATGATTTCATACGACTCGGGGCGATTTATGGGCGGCCTGGCTATGTTCTGCATCAAGACCGGTACTTGCTTATTGAAAGGAAACTTCGTTTTTAACCTTATGTACGGCAAATATAGATTTTATGGCGACTTCTTTGTTCGTAATTTGGATGCTAGCGTAGAGAGGAGTGCCAGCACTGTTTTTTTTTTTTTTTTCTGACAAAATGGTGTCATTTCTCTCCTCTTTGGGCCTATTTTTTTCTTTTTCTTTGCCCAGGAACTCCTCTCTAATTTTTATTTCTGTTTTTTATCCATGAGAAAAGACTTTCCACTGGCAGAGAACTTTCACGCGTGAATTTTGTGAAGTGCGCGATGTAAACAAAATATGCAAATAACATGAAATTGCCGCGAACATTCACCTAAGCGGTTCGCTCATTTAAGAGATTATGACACCCTCCTGATTTATTAACTTTATTTGAAAATGCGTTTTCCGAAATAAGTCGGTCGCCTTTTGAGATTTTAAAATGTTTCCTTTTGCAAACGTTAGTTAAAATGTCTAACTTCAATGATCTAGTCCAATAAAAGAAAAAACGAATTTTTCGGCCTCTGAAGGTGGGAAGTAACCTTAATTGGTTCTTCCTTCCCAACCCTACCCCGTCGAGTTTGAGTTGTTTGTGATGACCATCTAATCTAATAAGGGGCCGACCATTTAACTTTTTTTGTGGGGAGGGGGGGATTTCTGGTCATCAAGAAATTTTTTTCTAGCTATCTGCTGGGCAGGATATTTTTTCCGTTCTAAAATGCTCTTTTTTTTTTTTTGTTACATTTGAGTTGCATGCAATTTTTTTCTTCCAACAAGCGCTTGCAGGAAATTTTTTTCAAAAGCACCCACCTCCCCCTCAAGAGTTAAATGGTCGGCCCCTGAGCTCGAAGAGGAGATTAAATCCTATTATGAGGATTCAGTAGCACTACAACAAAAGATGAAGTTTACAAATGTTTTTCACCGACTCTCTCAATTTCTCTCTTAGAATACAAAGATTTAGATGGAATGATCGCTGCACTAGTTGAAGAGAAAAACCCGCCCGTAAATGGTTTCCTAATTGATAGACATGTAGCTGTAGCAAGTCTTGAGCAACTTACAGGCAAAACTCTGGCTATAGGCCGAACTGTTGACTACGATTACTACATTGGAATGAGCGTAACTCCGCCCTACAACTCAACACAAGTGTGTAGCATGATAAAGAAATGCGCAACGGATGTTCTAAATAGCAATGACTTTGAACTAAGAGCGTTACAGGTAATAAAGAAATAAAACTAAAGTAAAAATAACTTGCGTTACAAAAGCATCGCGTTAGCTTTCTTTACTTCCAGGTATTCTAGCCTGAAAAGTTAGATGACTAGTTATTTCTTGAACTTAGTTGTCCAATCCTTCACGACATTAGCAGCATTTATTTCTTTTGCAGTGAGAAAAATAGCCTGGGAAAGATTGATAGATTTTTCAATGGTTGACAGAAAATGTGGTTTCTTTCTAACCCAAACCGAACAACATTCCTCGTTGTTCAGTTTTCCTTCCAACAGGAAAACATTTCCTATTGTCACTTTTTATCCTCCTGTTTTTCGTAGATCTTTTCCAGTTCCGTTACTGTGGTAGAGACCGAAAACCAGACAACCAGTTTATTTGAAGATTACGATTTTCTCATAATTCTACTCGCTTTGTTTGGAATTCTTGTCGGCGGTGGTCTTATCTGGGAATATTTTTATTACAGACCAAAGATAGAGCGCGTTAACAAAGTAAACGGTGAGTCTGAGATTAATCATTCTGTAATGGCGATAAATGGAAGTGCATATACCAGCTTGAACTTAAAAAAAAAAAAACACCACCAAGAAGCTAGAGAAAATCTCTAGAATTTGTACACTCCTACAACATTCGTCAAAATAGCGTTACCGGTCGTCTAGATCTTCAGTTTCAATTCAGTGACTTACTTCTGGGTTGGGCATTACTTTAACACCATGTAACCTTTTGATCTGTTTAGAAATAGCCCAAAATAGGATGTAGGATCTGCTTTGTATACAAAAACGGGTAAATTTGGATAATAAAGAGAGGGGACCAAGAGACGAAGTGGAGACTGAGCAGGTAAGGTAACAAAAAGACTTTTGGCAAAGGGTGAACGAAAATGGGGCACCAACTGACTAAAGCTTTCAACCACAATTATTAGCACACGATTCGCATGACCTGAGTAACGATCTCTTTTCTCCCTTTCGTGTATTCTTCCCGAAGAAGACTTTGAAATGGAGGGCGATGACGGAAGAAAGGAATCAGATAAGGCCATCTTGTACTCAAATGAAGTCGAAGAAATGTGTGAGGAATGCAGGGCTAAAGTAGAGCACATCATGAAAGAAGAAGGAAAGAAAAGATGGCAGAGTATGCAGACCATAATAAGTCCGTTGGACGGATTTTCTATCATCGGCAGTCAATTAAGTTCTATCCCTGGTGTTTCATCTATTAGAAGAATTGGTTCAGAGATTCCCCACAATGTTCAAAACCTGACGAGAAAATCGAAAAAGAACAAAAAAGTAGATGAGTTGCAAGCGTAAACCGATGATTAGAAAGGATTGCCACTCAGTGATATATTTCCGTGTGTCAGTATTTAGAAAGCATTGCACCAAGATTGTTCAAGGGGAGGACTAAGAAGTACATGTCGTGTGAAAAAAAGGAATCAGAGCATGTGACCAAGATTGTCCAAGTAAATATAAAGTAGACGATTTGAACTACATTGAACACTTCTTGGAATATAAACGATCCAAACTTTTCCATACTGAATGATTTCGCCTTAACAAATATATGAGCGACCAAGGGCTAGCATTTTCCGTGGGCATTCAGTTTTAGCTTTTTTAGAACTCAGTGTCTATTTATTGAACGTTCGTGAGGTGATATGTTACAGACAGATCAGATCACGTTCTTGTCCCAATTTCTTGGGACTTATCTCATTTTACTGAAATCCTCAATCACCACATTGCTCTTTACATCCGTTTTGATACAAATAACTTTTTCCATGTTCAGGCTGTAACTATCATCTTAGAACCGATGCCTTTATCTATAGATTTCGTCAACGTTTTCCTTATCAAGTTTTTAGTTAATGTAGGATTTTCTTCTACAACAAGAGTTTAAATAGCTTATAAGTCTCCACATAGTGGATTGATTAGTGTCTCACAGATTACAACGGTGACTAAAATAAAAGACATTGAATGCCTAACCAATCAGCTTTGCCAAAATCGTAATGCAAGCCTCCTCAACACGATAGAACTGGAACCACGATCACAAGTGGCTGTGTATTTTTGTTACGCGAATCGTTTAGTGTGGTTCCTATGGAAATTAATTAACATGTGGTAAAACTTTGGTAACAGCCGTATCGTGTAATAAATACTTCATTGAAAGATTTTATGAGGGGGGATACTACGCGACTCGTAAAATATCCGTATATTTAACAATTATTCCACGAGCGCGCGTTAGATATGAGATGATAGATAGCCAACGAGGCGCGTAGAGCCAAGTTGGCTATAATCATCTCATATCCAGCAAACGCGAGTGGAATAATTGTTTTATTAAAAACGTTAAATTAAATTATTAAATTTTATTCAATTTTTTAGCACCCTTTTAATTTTAAGCTGGACGCGTACGCTTACCATATTTGTAGATTATTGTATATTGGCTCATATACCATAATGACTAAGCCAATAAAAAGTCTTGAATTGCATTATCCAATGATCCAGTTTTTAATAATACACCTTAAACAATTGAATAGAAGTATTTATCGATTGGAAACAGCGTATATGGTTGTATCTAAGCCGTTAGTGACCAATATCTACTGTAGACAGTCAGTAGATATTGGTCACTAACTAGACAGTCCAGCATCTATTAATTAGTTAATTTGGTTAGGCAGGGGACGTTAAAGAACCCACTCACGAGATTACTGTGATGCAGGTCTGGCCTGTTTACTGGGAATTGGGGGGGAGTGGCATCTTCAAATAAGTTTCCTTCAATTGTTTGTAAACTGCTGATGCAGTCTGGCCAAAGTCCCCCGAAAAGTGTTGTAATGCGCATTTGATCATATCCACATGTTAATTTGCGCAATATAAATATTAAATTATTATTATTATTAGTATGGATGATTGTATCTTCTGTAGTGGGAGTAGTATCTATCGTACACAATGTTGCTTGTTGCAAACTGACCAATCAATGTGATTTATAACGTTCTTCTGTGGGTCTCTTAAACACTAATTATCCAAGTACCTGACGACAGTCTAAGAGTGGTAGATGTACGCACAGTTACCGTTCTTTTGCCATCGGCCTCGGATTATGGCTAAGGAGACTGTAGCTGTGGTAAGTAGGACTGGGAACTACAGGGAGGGCTGTGTAACCTCGCTTATTCAAACTCACCCATGATGCTCTAGGTTGCATGTATTTCAACATGGTGGACGGTAGTGATGGTGGTTCAGTTTCGACTGTGGCGTCAGTTTTATCCTTGGCAGAAAAAAACAAGGAAGAGAAATATAGATCAATAGAGGTCGCAAAGGAAGTAGAGCCAGACCTAGATATTGGGAATTTATTAGCTACAGATCTTCAGCCCGTTGATAGACAAGAATTTAGGTGAGCTTGTAACTTTTAACATTCGTGCACGTGGATCGGAAAATTGCACAGGAAATCTTGTAATGGTTACATATTCCGTCGTATACAGATAGAAATAAGTTTATAGGTTTAGCTTTGCCTTTAAACCTCCTGTTCATTCATAGGAAAAATAAAGAAGACTTCCTCAGAAATCTTGCCAGAGATAATACGCAGCTGCTGTTGAATGCCATATGGAAGGTACTCTACTACCATGCTAAACAATCCCAAGAAGGTTTTCAGTCATGAATTTACAATTTCGTTACATGTATGGTATAGGAATTGGGTAATTATAGATAGATAGATACTTTATTAGGCACAGAATCCATAAAGCTAAGTCACTTATTTACAATGAAGCTGTGCATCTAAAATATTAAAAACATACACACACAAATATATATATATTAATACAATATAAACATTAAATAATTAACCCTTTGCCCGTGTTCTGTTAACACTAAACCTACGATGCCGAATTATATAGATTATTACAAGTTATTTAGGCCAATAGTTATTTACAAACTCTTTAAGTGTCAGGGAGCATTTTGTAGCATGATCAAGATTGTTAAATAGTTTAGCAGCTGAATAGGTAAATGACCTGTAGCCAGATTTAGAAGTTATTTTGACCATATGTAGATTTGCTCTATTTCTGGTATTGTAATGGTAGAAATCTGAATTATAGGAAAAAAGCCTTCTCAGATCGGGTGGATAAATTCCATTAACCCTTTCACTGGCAAACGTACAAATTCGTATGCTCTGACCCTATCTATACTAAAACCTCAGGGGACCCCCAGATAGTATTTTTTTTAGTTCTTAAAGATTATTATGGTTTGTCAAGTCACGTTCCTTCATTTGTAGTCGTGTTTCTCGCTGTTTATAACTAAATTTGACCGGATTTTCACGAAAAAAATTTGCTCACTTAATACTATCCTTTTAAAAATGGCGTCTGCATGGATTCCAGTCGAAGAAGCATGGCGAATTGTGTTAGAGGATGATCCTAACGAAGTTTTCTTTTGAGGGAAAGGACCATGACTATTTAGACTTGTGAACTGTATTTTCTTTGAATGTATGTCAAGTATTTCATACTGCATTTTTTCCTGTGCCTACTACTTTTGAAGGTTGCTATGGATTGTAATTTTTTATAAGAACAGAACCATTTTTACCTTATTGTTTATTTATGGTTCTTTGTGTCCTTCATGGTTACTATTTTGGTGATTTCAAGTGAAGCTAGCTAGTTGTTACTCAAGTATAGTTCTGAAATATCACATATCCTCTTATTTTTGAAAATTGCTAAGCCACACCTTGATGAATAGTAAAAGGCATAACTTTGGTTGCAATCAAGATAATTGGATAGAATAAAAAGTGTTTGGTTCCTGAAATAATACACTTTTGCATAATACAAAAGTTATGCTCACAAGTATGTTGATGCCTTGGTTTAATAGAGCAGGAAAAACAACATACTCTTCAAACATTTTGTTATGCTTGGCTTTTCTTGCCCCAAATTATGTGCGCAAGGACCCATATGTAACAAAATAGTCTTAAAATGATAGAAAAATTTCCTTCTGATTAAAATGATATATAGTTTGTTAGGGTTGAACTTAAAATGTGATGAGCTGTGGCTTGATTTGTCGGCTTACATCATAGAAAAATATTGAGTCCCCAGGAACCTGCCAGCGAAAGGGTTAAGGCATTTAAATGTAGTTAGACACTTTTGAAAGTTCCAACGTTCAAAGAAGGAGACCCATCCCAGTTCACAAAGCAAATTTGCGGTACGGTCTTCCCTAATCATCTTCTTTTGGAGAACAATCCGTGCTCCCCTTTTCTGAAGCCTAAGAAGTCTTTGAAGAGAGGTGCTATCAGCATTGGACCAGACAATATCACAAAATTCCATTAGAACATAGCTAGCAGAACCGCGCAATCGAATTCAATATTTGTAAGCGTGCTCAAAATCCCGATAGTGCACGCTGACAGCGTCAGCAAATCGCTTCGCCAGAAATTTTTTTTTCGCGCGAGCGGCCAATTGTTAGCGCGGGAAAAATAATATATTTCGGGACAATAATGGATACAAACAGAAACTCGGCCTACTAGTCCGAAAACGAAGACAATGTTTCGACCTTTTCCCTTGGGCTAGAGTTCTTAAATGAGGCAGAAAAAGAGAAAAACAAAGGAAAAGGAGACTCGGCATCAGCGCCGTCACGATTCGCTTCAACTGATATTGTTGTCCATTTTTCCCGTCGGATTTGATTCACAATTCTACCACCTATGTTCTAAAACAATTGGTTCATGCTTTCAGCTGTGCACTATCGAGTTATGGAGCACGTGGGAAGTTTGGAGAGCACTCAAGAAGCTAGAGTTGCCCTCGGCTATCGCCTCGGGCAACTCTTATGCTTCTTTCGTGCTCTCCAAACTTCCCGCGTGCTCCATAACTTGATAGTGCATGCTAAAGCATGAACCAATTGTTAATTAAAGGCTGAACTAAAGTCATATATAAAAGCTTACAGGTATCGGTATCTAAATATTTGCGAATTCTTCCCAACGAATTTAATCTACAAGTTACTTTATTATAAGTGCTATTTATGTGTTCATGCCAGTTCATAGAAGTATTAAAAAATTAAACCCAAGTATTTCACAGTGTTTGACAGCTCCAGAAGATTGCCCAATAAAAATAAGGAGAGTCCTTGTGATCTTGCGAGATGTAGTATGGACTATGCAGTACCGGTTTTTCACTACAGTTTGCCTAAATATTTAATGCAAGAATTACAACATGTACAGAAGAGAGCAATGTCCATGATCTGTCCTGGTCATAGCTATCATGAGGCCTTGGATATTATAAAATTTTTAAGGAATTAGCCATCCATCACGACGAAATATGTGAGTCACTTTTCAACAAAATTGTAAATGACAACAATCACCATCTTCAAAAGTTAATACCAGCAGCACATGAAACTACCTACTTGTTAAGGTGTGTGCAACCTTTTAATGTACAGCGCTTCAAAACCAGCTGTTTTAAGAATAGTTTTATTATTTCCTCATGTCTTAAAGCGAACTCATCTTAGCTTTCCCTTTTTGTAGCCAATTGAACACCTTTTAATAACTAAGTAGTTAATATCTAAATTAGTTTAATTTTACTATCTGTATTATGTGAGTAAATACACAATTTTTTTGACTGCTATGTATTTACGAATAAATAAACTTCAAACTAAACTTCAAACTTCAAACTGCTGTTTAGAGCGAAAAAGCATGACATTGGTTTTGTCGCAGTTTACTAGCAAGTGATTCAAAGAAAACCCTTCAATTTGCCAACGGCATTCAGGTCTTCTTGTAGAGTGGATTGAATAGTTTGAGTGTTTCTACCAGCGAAAAATAGATCAGTATCATCAACATTATTCCACTCATTGAATCACAGTGTGTTCACATCTCATTGAATCACAATACGTCCTTTTGTGTTGTACCTCTTTCTTTAAAGTATGCCAAGTTGGACCTCAGTGGCCCTGTATTGTGTAGTTGCTCCTTTCCTTGTAAGTTGGGCGTGTCAATATAAAATGGTTAGCTTTGTAAGAAGGATATCCCACAGTATTGTTTGCCTGTACTGTCTAACTTGTGCAAAACGGATCCTGTCTGTGTTAGAACAAATAAACTTCTGTTGATATGTGATGTAAATTAGCCTATGTGTAAGTTAAGGGTTTTGGTTTTTTCAATATGATTCATTTGCAGCTTCCTCATGAAAGATCTGAAGGAGTTGTCCTTGTAAAGGTATGTCCATTTATAAACTTCATCCTAGAATTTACGGTTGTTTTCCATTTCAACTCATTAAATTAAGCCTTCTATGAAAAATAGAGCACATTTAAGTTCTTCTGTTTTCCAAACCTTACATCAACCACAAGCAAATTTCTTTCTATATATCAAGGTCAGTGTAAAGGCAATTGTCATTCAACCTGTGTCAGCTTGAAATGTCCTGAGACAAAACTATAGATTATATATTGTGACCATCAGGGGGAAGGGGGGGGAGGGTGTAATCCTTAATGAGCAGTCTTTGATGATGTCCAGTAATACTAAGATTTGGTCTTGGTCTGATTGTTTGAGTGAGAATGTTGTAATTCTATCTTCAGCTGAAGTGACTGAGGATGGATGATTCAGAGAAGAAATCATCTCAAGTTGACTCTGAGGATAAATTCCACTAAGGCTATATAAACTTCAGACCCCATTATATATGTACATTTATATCTTCAGCTGGCCAGTCAGTGGTTAACAACAAGTCAAAATGATTGTTTTTTTTTTTTCTTTTTCAAGTCAAATATGATAATTTTCATAACACCAACATAAAAACCAATAACTTCTTTTCCTTCTATTTTAATCCATGGAAGCTACCAGAGCCAAATACAATTATTCCCAGAGAAAAACCAGTAAGTATGTCTAACAGTCATGTGTGTACAACCAATCTATTGATTTCTAGTGATAATTAGAAGCTAGTTAATACTTAAAACCTACCTGCTTTTGTTGTCCAGTTAACATGTACGATGTGCTTTCACTGTTGAGATAATTTTCATCATCTCTTGAATTTCAGATCCCTAAACCAAAACCACCCTCAAAATGGGAAGAATTCGCCAAAAGAAAGGTATTGTCAAAGACAGTAATCACTTCTGGAATTTTAATATATCTTTTTACTGATATTTTCTTAAGCTTCCAAAAAGTTGAAGCTACTGGTTTTTACTCACTCTTAAAGAGCTTTGCAATGTGTCTTTTTTGTGCCAGCAGTTTTATGTTTGGAAATACTACATGCATTTATGAGTAATAAGTGAATTGATTCTTGTCTTACAGGGCATCACAAAAAAGAAGCGTGAGAGGATGATTTTAGATAAAAACACTCAGGTTAGTATCAATTTTTAAAATGATTGTAGTAGGTGCCAAGTTGATGTACTAAAAAATGTATTTGAAGAGTCGTGCCTTGATTTCCAATGTACATCTATGTTAAGTTGAATATCACTTTTAAACTTTATTTTTGTATGATAATTAAACTGATGCAGAGTATGTTCAGTATTGGCAATTCTAACACATGTATTTGGGCTTATATAATGCATGGTAAGGTAAGGTAAAGCCTGTTTACGAGCCAAGTGGCCCATTAGGCTGGCACTTAACTCCAGTCTCCATAGCAAAAATTATGTGCCTCCATATAAAAAACATAGTGAACATGAATCCAACAATGAGTCTCTGCAAATTTCAGTGTTTTTTTTTTTTTTTGGTTTTTTTATTCTGGAACATTTTTACTTTCACTATAAAGTTGTCAGTTGTTTAAATATTTGTAACTACTAACATGCATCTCCAGGAATGGAAGCCACGTTATGGATACAAGAGAGGAAATGATGAAACTCAGGACTGGCTTCTGGAGGTTCCTCAGAATGCAGGTACCTTGTATCATGAATTCACAAATAATTGATGATGACTCCAAAATATAACATGGTTTGGGTTCCTTGTCTTTATGTGCAAATAGGTAAGAAGGAGTTTGTGCACAGGCATGGTTAAAAGAAGTATATTGTTTGCCTGGACATCACTTTGAGTGGACAAATTACAAGCATCAGTTAATTTATCAGTGGATGAACTGCCCTCAGACTTCTCTGACCAAACTCCTGAATCTATTGTGAACTTTCTTTTACATTAAGTGGCCATCTCCTTAAAAGATGATGGTTTCTTTGGTTTCAAACACACTCATTTTCTTGCTTAATATTCATGCTTTGATGCAAATTTTAAGAATTGGAAAAACATCCATAGCGTGACATCCATAGCGTGACAGAGACCTTTCTTAAAAGTAGGAATTTTGATTTTAGATCCATATGAAGACCAGTTTGAGAAAAAAATTGAAGCAAAGAAGGAAAGAGTTTCCAAGAATGAATACCAAAGGCTGAGAAACATAGCAAGAAACAGAAAGATTCCTGGTGAGTGGGATTGCTGTGAAGTTCATTTATTTGTTTAAGCAGGTTGATTAATTGGCAGCTGTAATAGCTGATGTGGACCTGCTGTCCTACCTCACCCATCCCACCCCAGGGGAGGACATCCATCACACAGTAATCTTGTGTGTGGGAAATTAACGTCTCCTGCCCCAACCCTGCAGGAGATGGGACCTCCATTTATTCGTCCCTATCCGAGAAGACTAGAATATCTAACCATTTCTTGATGTTATAGAAAGGTAGCAAATTCTTCTCAATTATTTTAAGACCTTGAGTGTTGGTCCGGCCGGGGCTCGAACCCTCGACCTCCTGCACTACAGTCCAGCGCTCTATCCATTGAGCTCATGTTTTTGTTGTGAAAACTAACCTTTATTGAATTGTGATGGATGATGTTGTACAGTATGTGTTTAGTTATGTTCCTCTTTATTATATGATTTATTTTTACAAGTTCCAAATAAAGATCTTGCTCCTACCTCTGGACAACAAAGCAAAGAGCAGGTAATTACTTGATTTTGTATTTTTGAAATCCTTTCAAAGTCAACGTGTCAACTTCCAAACTTTCGCATATGAAAGTTGAGCAAATTACATAAACATGCACATTACATAAACATGCAGATTAAGGACTTTTCCTTTCATGCTAAAGCTGACTTGTTTTGCTTAGGGTTAATAATAATTATATTAGAAGGAAAAAAGTGCATATCCTTTGCTCTGCTGAGATTTTGTTGTCATGAATGATTTACATATGTAAAATGTTTGTTTTTCAGATCTCAACAAAGTTAAACATTAGCAGATTGTCAACTGCATCACTGGGAAAATTTACTGAAAAACTGGTACGAAATATGTGCAACAAGCACACTTGAAGATACAAGTTTGTATTCATATCTAGGTTTAGGAGGCACTTGTTGAATTTGACAGTAAACATTGGAGAAAAAAAGGACTCGACCAGATGTCAAATTTTTAATTGTTTTGATTTAATCTTCAGCGTGATGAAAAGATTCCAAGGAAAACTGGAAAGAAAAGAAAGGTAAAAGAATATAGAGGGTACTTGAAAATTAGGATGACAAGCTGCCAATGCAATCAAATGCCCAAATGGCAGTCTTCTCATGTAGACTCGCTCCAATTGTCATTCTATAGATCATTTGATCCCTTAATGTCACTTTGGTCTCACTAACTGCAAGAAAACTTGCTGTTAGAAGATGTTCCATTAAAATTTGTGGGCTGCAACACAGACTCATGGTGATGACTTTCCCATTGATGTGTGTTAACCTTAATGGATTTATCTTCCTTGGCTTTAGAAAACTGTTATAACCGAAATTGAGAAATTGTAATGATTTAACCATCATTGCCTAAATAGATTGTCTTAAATTCCTTATTGTTGTAATTACAGTTTGAGCCTGTTGTGGGTGACTTGTCAAGTGAACGGAGTCGAAGTAGAGAGCTGGCAGAGAAAATAGCCAAGAGAGATCCTCTTGATATCAATAAGGTAATTAATATGTACTTGCGCAAAGAAAATGGCAGAGATTTTGAATGCACGCAATAACGAGGCTAAGTGAAAGTTGATGAAGAGGCAGTGCATGTGGCTGTCAACGGTACATCTTTCTGGCCTTTACACAATGCAGACTTACCTTGCTCCATGAGTTTAATACAACGTTTAAAAGTCGTAGTCTTTTTCTTGTTGTTGTGTTTTGTAAAAAAAGCTTGACGCACCCCGTTAATAGGTAACTGGTCGTTTTGCCAGCGTTTCAATTGGCCAACGACCATTTCACAAACGTATGAGGTCGATTGGCTAGCGTCTTATGTCAGTTCATCAAGGCTTACGCACCAACGTCCATTTTTCTTTAACTTTCCAGGCCGTAAACCAACACATAACAGAAGCGCAGAAAAGGTAGGCAAACTGCCACCAGAGCAGTCTGAGTGTTATGTAAAATAACCTATTTATTATTGTACCGGTCAAAGGTAATTTGACTATTGCCACCTGAAAATCAATTTGATACTCGAACGCTTTGAGGATCCAGAACTGAGTTCGAAGAACCCACCTTAAGGGACTCCCAAAATTTAAGAGCAGTAAGGCCTTCCGATCATACAGCCTCAATGGTTCAAGAGAAGGTAGTGGTTCTTGCTTTCCACCTCAATCCTCCATTGAGAAACGACAGGGTTCGTACGCGTCTTGAAAACCCTTGAATTTCAGGAGGCCGATTTCAAGGCCTTGAAAGTACTTGAATTTCGTTTTGGGTCCTTGAAAGTCCTTGATTTTTTATTGAACAACAACGAAAAATATCTGCTTTTGTTTTGCACCATCAGTAAACCCAAACCATAGATGTTAACAGAAACATTTTTCTTGGTTTTGAGGTAAAATTGTCATTACAAAAAGTCCTTGAAATTTCTAAGTAGGGTCCTGGAAAGTACTTGAAAAGTCCTTGAATCTTTGGCCTGAAAAAGTGTACGAACTCTGTAACGAGGTCTAAAGGCAATTTTTTCCTTTTGCTGCATCTCATGGTGGCTGGTTAATTTTTATTGTATAAAGGCTGATAGTTTCGAAAGAAACTGTTTGGGGCTGCGCCGGTGGGAGTAACGAAATAATTTGGATATATCAACAAAGTTGAAATGGTAAATTGGCCACCGTAACAATAATTTTTATTGTGTTTTGTGTTCTTCATCTCTATTTTTAAAACTAACCAGAGGAAGTGAGTTAAAAAGGAAAGGAGCTGGAAAAGGAAAGAAAGGAAAGGCAAAACTTGATGCTAAAAATAGAAACCGGAAACCAGCTGGAAAATCACCGAGAAAATCAGGGAAGAAAAAAGTCAAGATTTAACGTGACTCAGAGCATCTGTTTATTACACTGGCTTTGAGCTAATTCCGCAGAGAATGGAGAGCCAGAATTGGTTTTTACGATTCCTTTACTACAGTTTTCATTCTTCACCGTTTAATGTTTGGAGATTATAGCGAGAAATATTCCATGAAACTCAAACGGTACATAGAATATTAATGCTATGCTTGTTTAACCATGTCGCTCTAATGGCGTCAATTTTCGGGAATAATGACAAAAATTTAAGTTACGGATTATGAATAAAATGAAATGCAACAAAATGGAATTGTAATTGTCGTTTAGTATTGTTTAATAGTTGTAACTGTAACTTATTGATTGGTTTCGCAGCAAAGTAGAGTGAAAATACCGTAAATTGCAATCTTTTTTTTCTTTCTTGAGAGATGAGGATGTAAAGGCATTTGATTTAGTCCACTTAGTATGGACTGAGTATAATTTTTTTACATTATTTTCTTGCCGTTCTCTGCGTGAAACAAAAGAGGTCCCTTACCACGTGAATTTGATTGGAAACCAAAGTGTCCCGTCTCAGTCAGCCCTAAATTTTTGGCGATACAATAAATTGCCCATTTGCACAGCAACCGCACTCGCCCCGAACGACAGAACGGAATAACGTGTACGCATGCCCTAGGTTTTGCCGCAGAAATACGGATTTTGAGGGCAGAGCTGAATAACATATAAGCATGCGCTAGATTTTGCCGCGGAAACACGAATTTTGAGTCATTCGCATGGTTGATTACCTATTCGTGCCGCAATCTCCAAAAATTTGGTACACCCCCTAAAAACTTTTAAAAATAATATCTCCTTAAAACCTCTGGAAAAAGGAAAATGCCTTTGACGAAAACAGAGTTCCTCGGTTTTAAAAGTCAGCCCTTATTCTTTTCCGCTAATTTAGCTAAATTTTAGACCGAGGATACTTGAGCCCGCGTTATTGACCGCATACCCTCTGACGTAGCATTTCATTATTCAGCTCTGTCTTTTCAGCTCTGTCGCCCGAAGATAAAAGGAATCCTGAGCCCGCGAGCACGCCTTCATCATAACCCCGGCGCGTGGATTTTTCTCATAGGAATGTTTTGTATGAGGACATATAATGTACCGAATACTATGATATCTAATATGGGGTATATACTTCATTCCAGTATGCCATAGCACAGATCCACTGTCCCTAGCACTGATTAATCATCTGTCCCTTGCATTGATCATCTGTCCCTAACACTGATCATCTGCAAGGATGATCACTGTTAGGGACAGATGATCAGTACTGGGGACAGATGATCAGTGCTAGGGACAGATGATCAATGTTAGGGACAGATGATCAGTGCTAGGAACAGATGATCAGTGTTAGGGACAGATGATCAGTGTTAGGGTCAGATGATCAATGTTAGGGACAGATGATCAGTGTTTGGGACAGATGATCAGTGCCAGGGACATGATCAGTGTTAGGGACAGATGATCAGTGCTAGGGAGAGATAACCAGTGCTAGGAACAGATGATCAGTGCTAGGGACAGATGATCAGTGCTAGGGACAGATGATCAGTACTAGGGACAGATGATCAGTGTTAGGGTCAGATGATCAATGTTAGGGACAGATGATCAGTGTTAGGGACAGATGATCAGTGCTAGGGACATGATCAGTGTTAGGGAGAGATAATCAGTGTTAGGGACATGATCAGTATCAGGGACAGCTGATCAGTACTAGGGACAGATGATCAGTGTTAGGGTCAGATGATCAGTGTTAGGGACAGATGATCAGTGTTAGGGAGAGATAATCAGTGCTAGGAACAGATGATCAGTGCTAGGAACAGATGATCAGTGCTAGGGAGAGATGATCTGTGCTAGGGAGAGATCATCAGTGCTAGGGACAGATGATCAGTACTAGGGACAGATGATCAGTGCTAGGAACAGAGGATCAGTGTTAGGGACAGATGATCAGTGTTAGGGTCAGATGATCAATGTTAGGGACAGATGATCAGTGTTAGGGACAGATGATCAGTGCTAGGGACATGATCAGTGTTAG